ATATTGAACCCACAATCTGTGATGTGGAAGTGAAATTGTATTTTACAGATATCTATTGAATGCACTTGTGGTCATCAATCGATTGATTACGTTCACAAATTGGAGTATTTTGTAGGCTATCAGGTTTATATGGCTTAAATTATCCAAGTATTCAATATGTATTCAAACGGTTTATTGTTTATAAATTCAATATCGCATTATCCCATTTCAATGAAATTTTGCACAATTTATTGGCCGTACTGTGCAGTGTGTGCCGGTCTTTGATATGTAGTTATTGCATTGTTTGTTGGGTACTTACCATACCCGTACAGTAATGAGTCTTTTGATACATAATACACAGTACACTGAGCTGAGCTAACTAATATACTTGTCAGTGTATTTGGAAGTCTTTTCTCTTAACTTATTCTCTTTTTTCCTAAACATATTTAATCATTCTACTGTACCAGCTTTCGTAACAACCAACTAGTCCACCATTGTTTTCTACCCCATGAATACACTACACAATTAATAAGCCTTAGTTATGCAACGGGATTACCTTTATTACTCCAAGTGTATACGTAATAAACTTTTTCATTATACAATAATATTTTTAAATATTTTATCAATTGTTTTTACACAATTTTTTTAGTACAAACTATTTGAATTATAAAAAAAAATTTATTTTAATTTTAAAATGTATTTCGACAACTATTACCAATGTGCAATATTGTAAATTTTTTCTCTATAATGAATAACTAGCGATCAAAATTGCGGGGGTGGAACAACAGGAGAGGAAATGACCATCGTCCTCCAGACTAGCGTTCCCATTTAGAAAACCTGATTAGAAGAGTAACCAGGATGTGCAAAGTAGCGATAAATAGGTTGGCGCGTGTTCTAAGTATAATTTTTATTATATCTTTTACTTAACTAATATATCATAGAGTTATAAAAATAGCTACAGATCATCACTGAAATTTTTTTTCCTCACCGATAAATTAATATTTAGATTTATAAAATCTTTTTTCTGATGAAATAAATTATTTTTATCAAGGAAAATAATTTTTTTTTTCTACCAAATAAAAAGTTTCAGATTTTTTTTAATTTGATGATTATAAATTTTTCGTCATATAATTATGTAATTAACAATGTAATATGAATACTTGACGGATGATAATAAAAATGACTTATTCCGGAAATAATGTTGGTTTATTTAATATATGATGAATATGTGAAGAATCTTATCGGTGATATAAAATTAAAGTTTTAAAAAAACTCCCATTTTTGACCGCGGGTTCGTTAATAAAATTGGGTCATTCGATAAGCCATGCAGTACATTACGAATACGATAGTAAAATTAAGTAAAATTTAAAATAAAAAACAAAATTAAACAAATGAGAATTCTTTCCGAGTTTGGCCGGATGTTAACGATGAATAGGATGTGTAGCAGCATAATAAAAAAATGAGAGAGAAAAAATTGAAGAAAGAGATATCAAATAAAAAGATAAAATAGACAAATGAAAAATGAATGCCTGAAATTTGACGATAGTCGTTATATGATTCGATTTGATTCTATAACCCAGATGTGCATTTGACGCAGGTGAAAAAAACAATCTTTATTATTATTTTTATTAATTTTCCAAAGCGTTAAAATTTAATTTTCGGTACCTTTGATTATTAAACGACCGGTATTTTGATTGACGTGATCAGAGAAAATCAACTCTAAGCGTATGCCGTTGTCGTGTAACATTGATAAAGTTCCTCAACCGGAACTTTTATCGATTCAACATGATATCCAAAGAGCGAAGATGTTTCTCAAGAGACATAGCACAGATTCTGGAGATAATTTGTATGAAGTATTAGAAGCAAGTATTGATAATTTTCATTTTTTATCCATAATTTATTCATTTTATAGATACTGCTGATAGAAATATTAAAATTTGGGGAATGGACTTTGGCGATTGTCACAAATCGTTGTTTGCTCACGATGATTCTGTAATGGGTCTTTGTTTCGTCCCAAAAACACATTATTTATTTACTTGCAGTAAGGATGGAAAAGTCAAAGAATGGGACGCGGATAATTTCCAAAAAATTATAACTCTTCAAGTAAGTTACCGTAAATATTAATAAATCTAAATCTAAATAATTAATACTAACTGTTACTCGCCCGCTCCGCTAGGCACTTTATAGAATTGCATTTTTAGATCTAGACTTGAAATTTAATTAGAGTATTGTTTTGACTTGCACAGATTCCCAATTCTATCGAATTGGCATGCACCTTTATCCATGTAATTATTCTAGCTAATATTCATTAGCTATGATCAAAACTTTCAATGTACAATTATTATAACATTATAACGTGTCTTTCTTACAAAAAATTAATAATAATTGATATGAAAAAAAAACTGGGCGCTTTATAGAATTGCATTTTTAGATCTAAACTTGAAATTTAATTAGAGTATTTACCTTTTATCCATGTAATTATTCTAGCTAATATTCATTAGCTATGATCAAAACTTTCAATGTACAATTATTATAACATTATAACGTGTCTTTCTTACAAAAAATTAATAATAATTGATATGAAAAAAAAAATTTTTAATGAGCATTGAAAGTTTCAGTTAAAGAAATTTCAGGTCTCATAAATAAAGAAATCTGCCTAGTATGTAAACATAACCGATATAATTAAAAAATTTATTTTAAACAAATGACAATTGAATAGAATAAATTTAGTTACAATAAAAATTCATTATTTCTAAGTCAAAAACATATAGGTTCCGGATAAGTAATCACCACCATATCATATACTAAAACCTTCTCCGAAACACGCTGCATCTTATATGGTATAATTATTATTCTGATCGGTTCAGTAGTTTTTGCAGTATAACCGGACAAAAAAAAAATCAGCTCTCCATTTATTAGTATAGATAGCGAGACTGTTTATTATTCATATATTGTTACTATAGAACTGAATTAACATCTATGTTTTGTAGGGACATTTTGGCGAAGCTTGGTGTTGTGCTGTATCGCCGAATGGTGTATTCGTAGTATCCTGTGGTGCTGATAAAGTCATAAGGCTATATGAAAAAACATCAGAGCCTTTAGTTTTAGAGGATGAAGCTGAAGAAGAACGTGAAAGACAAGAAAATGAGCTAGCTACAGGTGAAGTTACAGCAGTGCCAGGACAGAAACAACAATTATTGCCCTCACGCAAGACGGTTAACAGTGAAAAAGCGGTAAGATTCTTTATTCCTTAAAAATTTATAGTTCTATAAGAATTAATCTTTATTAATTGTTCTTATATTACGTTTTAATCAGGCGGAATTAATTCTTGAATGTTTGGATGTGATCAAAGAATATAATAAAGAACTAGAAAATGTAAAGCCTCCAAATGCAGCACCACCTTTACCGCCAATAATGCAAGCGTACAAATGTAAAACTACCGATGAGTATTTATTGGAAACATTTAAGCGAATTAGAGCAAGGTAAATATCTCTATAATTGTTAGTTAAGGTAGTTGTCATGGTACAATAATGTCAAAAAATTAGAGATTATACGCGCCGCAAAGGTATATGAGCTTGTAGTTAAGTCATCCATAATTTTTACGCAAGACTGTACCCGTGGAGACGCAACCCATACATTGTTTCTGTCCGACTCCGTAGATATATACTTTTTCATAAATTATTGAACTTTAATCTGTTATTTATAAATAATAAGACGGTTAAAAATTTTTTTTTATTTTTTTCTTTAACTCACTACAAATACATAAAAAAACTGTCAATTTTTTTAAAGTTTCTAACAGTTAGTTTTTTTTTTTATAACTAAGGAACTGGTATATTCATCTCGGGTTATAGCTTGTCAATCGACTTCAAATTTTTAGGGCAATTGTATTATCATGTCCTTAATGAGTACACAAAAATTTAGAATTTTCTGACGGTATGCCTTAACCACGACAACTATCTTAAAATTTCGTAATTTTATAAAATATTGTCATCTTTATTAATGATAAAAAAAATTAATTGTTAACAGTGAGATGGAAGAAACTCTTTTACTTCTACCTTATGCTGATGCTTGCGAAATTCTTGAATATCTTCCGAGGCTATTGAAGAGTGATTATCAGACTGAATTATTGGTTCGATTGGCACTGACTCTCATTCAAGCGCATCATGAACCAATAGTTGCGAATTCAACTATGTTACCGATTTTGGAAGAAGTCAGAGATTTAGCTATGAGTAAAATAACTAAACTAAGGGTGGGTTGAAGTTATTTTTGTTCATATGATTATTATATTGTAAATAACTATTTCTTATAATTATCATGCTATGATTTTTTTTTTAGGATACTGTTGGCTACAACCTTCATGGGATGGCATTTCTACAACGCAAGTTGGAAGAAAACGAGGGAGTTAAGTTATTCCACGACGCAACGAAAAAGAGGAAAAATAAACTTAAAAATAAAAAAAGTAAAGAACAAGCATTGAAACGTGCCATATTGGCATTATGATCTAAGTGTTTATGATTTGACGTTTTAATAAATTGTGTAAAAAAATTACTTTTAAATATTCAATTTTTAATAAATTTATTTCATTAATAAAAAAAAAAATGAAATTTATTATAGTTATTTTATTTATAGATAAAAACCTTTCTCGATTATAATTTTAACAATCATCAACTTCACCATAATGAATGATAAAAAATTACTCAGTAATAATTCTTTTTTTAATTTTACTAAAATTAAATATTTATTTATATTAGAGTGTGTAAGTAAAAATATTTTTTAGTATATGTAACTCACGTTTAATTTTGTAAAAAAGTAATTATATTAATTGATGTAATTTATCATAAAAATTGTGATATATATAAGTATTTTATAGAAACAAAAATTAATCATAATGTTAGAAAAAAAAGGCTAACATTATTAATGAAAAATTCATTTTAAAAAATGGAAAAAGCAAACGTATTGAATATCAGTACATATCAAATTAATTTTGGCAGTCAAATTTCAATCAAATTTCTGTATAAATATTAGCAGGCATGTTCAGTCGTAGGTCTCCATATTTGGATTGCGCTATCACCACATACGGCAAGTACTTCGTTCTGGTATTCCATCTGCAAAAACAAGTTTAGTTAAATATAATAAAATAAAAAATGTGAAAAAAATACATAAAACAGCTAAAATAGCACGATAATGCGTACGCGCCTCTAATGGGATAAATATACTCAATATATATAGGTATACAGTCTTTTGGTTTTTGTTTTATTTTATTAATTATACATAAACGACACTGAATTACCTAACCATTCGCATTCTATTCGGTGACCTACAATTCTTTCAAAGAATTAAAAAAAAAAAATTTAACTCAATTAATGCATTTTTTCGCAAGTTACAGTGTTTCCGGAGTTTCATACATGATGTGCAGGAAAATTTTTTGACCTATATTAATGTTTTTTTTTCCGTTTCTATTGCACTAAATCAATTTTTAAAAAGTGTCAAATTAATCTCCATTAAATTATCTAGACAATAGTATGCAAAATATCTTGATTCCGTGAACTAACAAGACTATAATAATAAAAATAGTTGCCGAAATGAATTGAATTTATTGATTTATGCCAAAGCCTTCACTGGCCAGATGGCAATAGAAAAATATACATTTTGTGAATACAATACATTTTTAAATTTTTTGATTTAAACATAATAATTATAACTTATATATAATTATACATAATAAGATATTAGAAGAAGTAATATTGCTTATATACTAATTTTGAAGAAACAAATTAAGTGAAAATGAAAACTAATAGATTACAATATTTATGATTATGATTTTAAAGATTTTAATTTTAATAATTTTAGTGATTTAATAGTTTTACTGTATTTAATAATTTTAAAAATTTTAAAGATTTAACTGAAAATTTATTTTAGATTTAGATGTCTAGATTAAAAAGGTAATCATAAAGCTTATTTTTAAAAATTTCTATACTGGGAGCATTTATCACATCGTTAGGTAATTCTTCCCAAAGACGAATGCAAGTAACTACAAATGATAATTCATAGATAGTTGTAGTAAATTTAGGTAACTTGAAATTTACATAATTCTTTTTTGCTGCTAGTCTTACAGAATGTCTAGTATCAATATCTTCAATAAATAGTTCTTGTAAGTAGCTAGGTGAAAAATGAGGTGAAAAAAATTTTTCGATCGTAAAGCACTCTCTGATGCTTCGCATCATGAGTCGTGCAAAAAAATTACTTAGAATCTGTACTGGTTACATAATAAAAATAATTATATTTACCCCAGCGATATCACCATGACGAGATTGTAAGATGGTGAATTGTCGAGGTGGATCAGTCGGACTTGAAATTCTAACAGTTGAGTCTAATGAACTGGTTAAAATACTTCCCGGTGTGACATGAATGCCCGTAATTCCTTTAGTATGTTCAGTCTCGTAAGTTCGAATAATATCAAATTCCTTGTATATATCTAATATATGAATATTAGCAGCGCTATCTCCAATATACACAGTGTCTTTGTACATAAACATACTCATTGGGAATGACTCTTTTGAAATCTACAATAAAAAAATTAATTCATTAATAAAAAATTTATTATTGTACTAAAAAAAAAAAAAAAAAAAAAAAAAGTATAAACAATAGTTAACCATTATTTTTTTGAGTATTTTTTGAGCTCGTTGATCCCAAATAGTTATACGCTTGTCTTCACTTGCTGATACAATGTACTGAGAGTTCATCTTAACTTTAAGTACAGGCCCTTGATGAGCTTGATATTCATTAACGAGAGGCGATTGCTTTCGCGGATCTAACACAGAAATCGTTTTAGTAAACGACCCTGTTGCTAATAAATTAAGCTCTGGGTTCGAAGCGATACACAGCAATGCACTCGTTTTATCTCTATAAAAATAATAAAAGTAAACGAATTAGGAATGATATTAATATTGATTAAATTTATGGTTAAATAATTGAATAGGAATTTAATACAATGCTGTACCTGAATAATTCAATTTTATTTACAAAATTAATGTCAACGTTTGATACACCCCATTCTATAACTCTCTGATCCCAACTGCAGCTGTAAAGTTTATTATGCATTAATGTTATATCGCGGATCCATCCATCATGCCCGAAGCTTTGATGCATTTGAATTTTCTCTTCATGCTCAGCAGATTTCAGCCTCCAGCATATCAACGATCTGTCACGTCCAGAAGAAATGCAAATTTGACCACTCTAAATATATTTTATTCAAATTTTTTATTATTAATTTTTCTCTTTAATAAAATCATAATTTATTTAGTCAATTATTAATGATTTTCATCATTATTATTGTAATTATGATGATTATTATGATCGTAATTCATAATTAATTATTCTGTAAAGTACATAACTTAGTTAATTAATAATTAATAACATTTAACTTTCGCGTAATAGCAATTAAAGAATTAAATAATAATAATAATCGGTAACTTCTATTTTTTGGATTTATTAAAAAAATAAATTAGTTATCAAAAAATCTTTTTAAAAATTTGCATTGACAGATCTCTTGACAAATTCCCACAAGTAGATTTAGATTTAATATTTTTTAACAGTAATTTATTTGTCAAAAAAATTATAAAATTGATTATGACATTAAAGTTAGCAGTCACTAGAGAATTTTTTAATTTTTTTTAACAAAAAAATTTGTTCCAAAAAATTATTTTTAAAAAATTGCATTTTTGATTTTTTAAAATTTCTACATGTCAATTTTTTTTATATTTTTTTTTGCCATAATTTATTTATTAAAAAAAATTCTAAAAATTATTAAATATCTGCTAAATTTATTATCATAAATTGATTAAATATTGGTTAATTCCTGTTTGATATATTTTACTTACATCCATCAGTAATAATCCATCTACGGTACCATAATGTCCATCTTCAAGTGAAAAATTATCAAAGGTTTCAACATTTCTCCATAAATACGATTGACGTTCAACAGCGACACATGACAATTTCCAAAATAATTTATCATTTTCATCTATAAAAAATAAATTATTATTAATAAAATTATGTTAAATTTTTTTTATAAAAATTTCAATTGTCAAGGAGCTACTACTGTTAGTATACTTGTTAGTAGTGTTATTATTTTAGTAGTATTAATTTAAATGAAAAGGGTAAAATTAATTTAGTTAATAGAATCAGTAATTTTAATTATCTATTTACTGAATGATATTTGTGGTGCAAGTAAGATGCTACCAATATAATCTAACCAGGAGGTAAAATTGGAAACCGTGAGTTTGGCCACACACGACTGATCCTAGCTTTCCATAATGAATCATCATGTAAAATATTATAAAACTGCTTGCATGTCATCCCCAAACGATGAACCAGCGTTGATGCATCCAGGAATGAACATATGTGGAGAAATATCTGCAATTAAAATTTTTTTTCCTTAATAATTTATTATTATTGTTATTATTAACTATATATAAAATGCATTTTCATCTATTTGAAATTATTTAAAAATGGCGTCGATCAGCTGTCATCAAAAAATTCTGTCAAATCGTAGAATAAATATTTACATGAAATAAATAAGATAATAAATTAATAGTTAAATAATTTACCTCTATTGGAAGTTCTTGGAGAGTTATTCTATCACACAATTCATCTTGTGAATTATCTTTTGACGAAATGTCATTGTCTTTATCGTCGACTGTATTTGACATGTTTACTATTTATGGTTAAATAAATGTGTTTCATTCGAATTTTATAGTAATAAAAAAATATAAATCTAATCACAGAACAATTATTATGTCTTAATCAATAACAATATTTTTTTATTTATTATTAAATGAAAAAATTAATAAAATTTTATTATTAACTTTTTTCTCAATGTGTTTAAATACTTGTGTCTTTTTTTTAAGATCAACTTTCCAATGCCCGACAGAGAAAGTAAAACAAGTACTTACTTAGCAATGCTGCCAACTTAGTGATTAGTTATAATTATAATTTAAAATAAAAATTACAAAATATTGCATGCTTAATTTATAAATAAATAAACTACTTTTTAATAACATTTGAAATTTTATTTATAAACCTTTTTATATCTCAACAATATTATACATTCGTACTTTAAGTATTTTACAAATAAACATTTAATTGTTTATTTTTTCATCAAAATATACATATTTTAAATATTTTATTTCATTTGTGAATTTTTATTATTATTATTCATTAATAATATCCACATTCAAATTAATTGATCTAAATAAAAATACAGAATACTGTAAAAAAAAAAAATTAATTTACTTAATGTGCATAATTTTAAACTAAAAAAAAATCATCTTGATATTCGTTTATGACCGTCTATAAATTAAATAAAAATCTAACATCGTTGCAAGGAATAAAAATATAAAAACAATATTATATTAAATTGGAAGAAGCAATCGTTGATTTGAATTAAATTGATCCCTATTAAAAAAGTCTAAATAGATATCAATTCTTTCGTAACACATCCATTTAAATATTTTATTTGTCTATTGCACAATTTAAAAAATTAATTATAATCAATAATTCAACTAATAAAAACAATAAAAATGATTCAATAAAAAATTGCTCAAAATTGTTTTTATATAAATAATAAAATAAAATTCTAGTTCAGTGAGCAGCCAAAGCTGCACAAGGTGAATAGGTTTGGAATATTCCACCGTATTTAATTAGCGTAAATATAATTGCTGCGCCTATCAGAGATCCAACTTGTGTAGCGACGCCTGTGTAATAGAGACCACGACCTGGATCCCCACTGAACAGCGTTGTGATACCCATTTTTACAAAACCTAGTAGTCCTTTAAGTACAATCCACAAAACAACAACCAACATTTCACCTGTCCACATGCCTTGAAGTGGCGGGGTTGGTGATTCGACAGCTAAGTACATCACGAAACTAGAGAGTACCACAATAATACCAGTAAGTATCGTAAAAAGTCTCAGATTTTGATGATGTCTAAAGTCATCGGATTTTGGTGGTGTCCAAATAAATCCTAGACACATTGAAAGTGGGCTTGCCATTGACGATAGAGTCACCGTTAAGTGATAAGCGACGTTACCATACGGCAAGCACGCGTAAGATTGTATGCTCGGTAAGATACTGTGGTCTAAGAAGCAAACGACTCCCATAATTGATAATAAATATATGTACATTTGTTTAGACATACACCACCCCGCAGTTGTTTTGTAGCTCGGCGGGGCGTTTGTCTCTGTTGGCAGTGTCTCCGTACATCCTGGCGGCTTAGAACGCTCGCCAAGGGCGATAGGAAGCTTGTTCAATCCTACGAATGACAAGAAACTTAATAATAATATCGTACCAAGTATCACGAAAAATACTTCTGTCGAAAATCTTGGCTCCGGATGGACTTCTTCCAACGTTGCGTTTACATTTCCTGGCTTTATCACGTATTTACACTCTGAATTACCACCTACTCCTTGAATCAGCGCTAATACGCTGGGCAAGAATCCACTCAGGCCTTCACCTACCAGATAAGACACCAGGTATATCTCACGGTAGTTTCTCATGTATGGTATGAATAGTACCGAGCTGGTGCATCCTACAACTGCTGTAAGGAACATTAGACCTAGTAGGGCTGTCGAGTGATCATTACCAAGGATCGTCGATGTGTTTTTGTACGTCAGCGACATGGTGTATATTGCTATAGTTCCTGTGCCGATTAGACCATATATTATGTAATGATCACGAGACCATGATGAATATCTACACAGAAAATATTTTATTACTTTATATCTTGATGATAAAAATAGTTAGCATCCAAAAAATGTATCATGTATAACATACAATTTTATTTTTAACTTAACTATTAAAGTTAGCTGTTATTTGACCATTTTTTAATTTTATTTAACAAAAAAATTTTTTTTTTAATATTGCCTTTTTAATTTATTAAATTTTCTAAATGCCAATTTTTTTTATCCAGTAATTTATTTATTAGAAAAATTATTAAATATCTGCTAAATTAATTTTCATAAATGTTTTGATGAATTATTGGATTTTTAGAATTTTATTAGTAAATTAAGTTAAAAAAAAAATTCTAAAAAATTGGTGATGTAATTTTTAAAAACACTTTTTTGTATTAATATATTTTTCTTAAAATAAATAAAAAATTTTCTGGGTATCTGCTGATTTAAGTATAATAATTTTTTGGATGTCCAGTACTTGCTTTTATTATAATTAAATAAAAATGAATACTTACTTGGCATATAATGTGTAAAGTATTGGTCCCAAATTAGCTAATTGAACCAACATGACCATGTACGTTGGCAGTTCCCATTGCTCAGGTGCTGATAGGACGAAAAGAGGTAATTGAACATAAATACCATTGATTCCAATCCATGCTCCAATACCAAATAACACTGCTAATCCATCGACTATCAGTTTTCTATTGCTTAATTTTTGTGATAAATTACTCATGATTTATCCGAATTTTACTAAGACAGATTCCACTGTTATGAGTCCCTGAGTAGAGATTTTATTACTATTATTTGTTGACGTTAGATATCATCTAATTTATCTTTCACAGCCTTATGCTTGTAATTAACTGATATAAATTAAATTAATAATATTTAATTAGTCGTAATCCAATATGTTTAAAGTAATATCGACATACCTTACTATTGGAATGTTAAATTTACAATATTTTTTATATAATAAAATTATTTACAATTGTTCTTCTTTTATTTTTTGTCAATAATCATCTCCTTGGAATTACATCAGATTTTTGAAGGTTGGGTTTCAGAACCGTGTCAAAAGTCAATCAATACTTTTATTTAACACATTGACCTTTCTTGTCACTTATTATTTACAATTAGTAAGATTTTTAATTTAGTTGATAAATATTTTTATTTATTTTTATTTTTTGAGCAAACTTTTTTATTTTTACTCTTTTCTTTTTAGGTCGAACTATCACAGCCAACAGTTGGTACACGAGTGATCCGATGACACAGTTCCATACCTCAGATACACGTATTTCTATATATATCTATATAAAAAAGCGGGTTATTTAAAATGAGCGGTGTTACATAAAAATCTTTTTTTTTTTTTGTACGCATGCGTAATAAATCATAAAAATGAGTTAGCTATTTTTAATCGCTGCTTATTATAACTAAAATCGTTTTAATTAGCGGATTATTTAAAACAATAGAGATAGTTGTTATCTACTATAAACATTTTTATCATTCTGTTTCGGGTAAAACTATAATTCTAATAATTATTAGTTCCTAAATGATGAAAATTAAGTTAGCCGACATTTAAAAATTTTTTTCTCTTTTTAAATTATTACAAAAAAATAAGAAAAAAAATTTCATTTGTAAAAAACTTGAAAAACTTTAAGTGCAATTTTTTAAAAATATTTTTTTGTTCCAATTTAATTAATGGAAAATAATAAAAAAATTAGAAACGTCGGCTAACTTTAGTATCATTCCTAAATGCCACTTATTAAGTATAAACTTTTAAGATTTATCTGGAGCAAAATCATTAACTTTATTTTTAATAAATAAATAATTTTATGGTGGAATTAAAGCTTTGTTAAAATGGAATTGAAATAATAGTTTTCATATGAAGAAATTGATCTGCATATTCATTTGTAAAATATTTTTATTGATCAGGAATGATAGGGTCAATTATATTAATTAACTGCAGTGAAGAAATAAATAAAATAATTTTTTTAAAGTTATTTTTTTCTTCTTAAAAAAAAAAAAAAAAAATCAGAATTAAATATTGAATGGCTTATAATCCTGTAAAATTACCTCTTAATTAAAATAACGTGTGAATAAAATTAAAAAGAATTCTTCACATTGTTTAAAAGTATAATAGCTACAAAAAACCGTCGCCTGAAGTATAGAATTTTATAAGAATTTTGTGCATCGAAGTTAATAAGAAAATTCAATATTTTGCTATGGAATTAAAAAAAATTGACTTATTTAACAGACTTCTGAAAAGGAAAAAAAAACGCTACATACTTTTACATTAAATTAAATATTAATCAGCTTGAGAACTTTAATATTTTTAGCAGCTATCTTCCGGAATGCGAATATTAAAGTATTGAAGTTTATAAGGACCTACCAAGTTAACAAACTTTTAAAGAATTTTTAAAGCTTAGTCAAGCCTGGTAGCTCAGCTTATGAGATAAAAGCTTCAAATGCAAGCGACGGTATCGATTTCATGAATTTTCTGTAAACACTTGCTGCAACATTGCCGCACAGTATCTTTTGGATGCAGTCTGAAAAAGCATAGATATGTTTTATATTTTTTTTAAATATTGATTCTTAAATTTTATAATTTTTCCTTTCAGATAAAATTAACAATAAGGATACTAGGATAGAGAAGGATAATTATGAAAATGGTAAATAATAAAACTCATTGTTTGAATATAGCAAGAATTTTATAAAAGACGAGGCAGACTCACAGATGGTTTAATAGTTTATCATATATGTATATATGAATGAGTGTTTTAAAAATTTTTCTTGAGTATTTTTGTGTTATGTATACATTATTTTTGCTGGAAGTCGCATGTGAAAACGAGAAATACAAGTTATGTGTGATTATTGTATTTATAATTTTTTTTTTTTTATCATTATTATCATTAATTATTATTATAGAGCCCAAAAATTAATGAAGTGTTTTCAAATTTGTTTGATTTCTGGTCATTTAGATAAATTTCTTTTTGTATTCAATTAATAAACTTATCTTGATAAACAAATAGAAAAAATAAATTATCAATAACTAAATTTTAATAAATATTAAAGAATGCTTATTTTTTATTTTCATTGTTCTTTGAATTTTTATCAACTCATTAAAGTTAATATACATTAAATATTCAAGTTTAGAATAATGCATTGATATTCCTTCTTCATTCATTTTATTGTTTTAAGTGAAATAAAATATATAATATTCAGTCGTGTTTGTATTGATAATTATAATTGATTTTAAAATTATTGGAAAAAATAGCTGATAAAATTGATTAGATAAAAAAATTTAATAAAAAAATTGTGTCTATAAATCGTAAATAAGTATTGAGTGATTGGAATGTAGACTAATTTAAGTAAAAATATTTAAACAAAATTTTATTAATTATTTTCGACACTGTTGTAATTAATCTTCAATAAATATTTTAAAAAGCGTTATTTAGGCTCAAAAAATCAGAGTTTAATATTAATGTTAATTATAATTATGAATTTAATATACATCTAACATTAATTATTTATATTTTATAATTTATAATATATAACACACAATATTATTTTGTTATTATAGATCATTTAATCATTTAATAGTTTAATAATATGTTTACTCTTCACTTCTTCAGCGTTATCGATTTCGTTTGAAACTCTCTCTCTTTCTCTACAATAACTTGCTCAGAATTTATGCTAATGAAAAATATACATGTATATTAAATTATACTGTGATATAATTTCATATAACATATATTTTTCTTTAGTAATCGACAAAATTACATTTAAAATTCAGTAATGAAATTAAAATTACATACCCTGTTACAAATGAGTAGATACTAAGGACTTAAGTAATTACATATCATCATCTTCGTAATACATATAATAAATTTATCTTTAATATAATGTAATTAAATTTTATAATAATATATTTATTCATTTGTTCATTCATATTAATAATAGTAATAATATTCATTTGTTTCATTAAATTTATTAAATTGACAATCCCAACGCGTTTGGCCAGTGTTATTTCAATTAACATGAACGTTGCGTGGATATTTTTCAAGTAAAATATAATAATGTCAATCATATACTTTGTTTTTTATTTATTACAAAAAATATGTTTTTTTTTTTTTCATTTTACCTTTATTTTTATTGTTAATTTATTTCTATGTATTCATTTTGCCACGCAGAGCAAGAGAAAATATGTATTGATAATCGGACGTAAAAAGCGTGAATAAATGAATGCGAGCATTCAATTCTCTTGGATCGATAATTTAAGTTAAATACAATTTAAAACTGAAAAATAAATAACGATGAAAAAAAAAAAATGCTTTTCTCTCTCACTCGTTTTCTCTTTACAATTTGGATTTTGTAAAAAAAAGTTCTGTGTGCTGTCAAATATAAAGTTATTGAATTATTAAATAAATCTTTGTTTTAGTGACGTATTGTAATGTTATAATTAATATAATACTGTAATAATATTTTGCTTACAATTAATAAGCTAAAGTTTGTAACTATATTCAATAAAGTTTGAAACTGTCCAAAACAATTCTGAAAATTTAGAAAATGTTTGGACAGTTTAAAGAATTTTAATAAATGTCGTAATAGTCCTGGGAAAGTTTAGAACTGCCATCCGCAGTTTAGAAATTTTTTGAATTTTGTTGTAAATTCAAGAAAATTAAAAAAAAAAATTAATAATTATCAAAATGATAATAATAATAATAATATAGTTTATAGTAAATACTAAGTTACTTAAATTTGTCTCTTTAGAGAAGAGAAAATAAATAAAAAATAACAATAGATAATGAACTTCGAAGTATTAATGATGATAATAATCAAAAATAAATTACGTAAGAGAAGAAGAGAGTATATATACGATTATGATTATATAGTATACTTCATACTTAATCAGTTTTCATATTGAAGTGAAGGCTGGAAACTTGGAAAGCTCACTGGGTAATGAGCACAAGTCCTCGTCATAGAATAAATTTAAGTTTTATGCATACAGATACATATATCTATATATACATGTGTATATATTTTATATTGTGTATATATGTATATAATTAGTAGCTAAGCGCATTGGCTCAGTTATTTCCTAACGACAATATTATACACATATATTATATACCATTATTATAATTATACAAGAGTATTCAAAGTGATTGAATTATAAATTTTTTTTTATATTGTATCGAAGCTTTGTACTGCTACAAGATATATATGAAGACCCGGGCTCATATATATTTTATTTTATGACTATTATTGTAATTATTATTATGTGTCATTCTGGTCATTAAAATAGACACAGTGCTCTTTGCATTATTAGAAAGGGAAAAAATAAAATAATGTGTGCGATTGTCTTAATGCAAAGAAATTGTTGACCGACTCAATTTTTTATTTATTTTTTCTCTTTTTTAGATACAGTAGAATCGTGACTGCGAATAAATTCAAGTATGACTGAGAAAATAAAATAAATTAGACAAAAAATACATATTATCTTCTGGTTCAATAATATTAAAATGCTTGTTATTGTAAAAATAGTAAAAATGTAATTAATTTCCGTGCATTAATTAATTATTAATTATCAATTACCAACTACAAGTTTTATTTGCTATTGCATTAATGATGTAATATCGTAAAAAAGATTTTTAGTTTTAATTAATACCAGTGAGAGATAAAAAAATTTATCATGGTCGTTTATGATACGTGTTAGCTTTTTTGTCTGTTCAAATTATTTTTTGTACGTTTATTGTAAAATCAGTGTGAATAAGCTTTGTAAATATCGACATATGAGAGATTAGTTTACAACATGTACACACGTATATTTATATAAATGTATATATGTAGCAGACTTGTGGAAATTTTTTGAAGCAGAAAGTGCGCAAATTGTGCATACACGCTTGATGTTACTTTTATTTAAAATTTAATTAATATTCACTATGACTTAATATATATATATATATTCATCAATCATAATTTAATATAATATATGTAGTATATTGTAGTCTATAATATGTATATGTATATTAATATATAATTATTAATTGATAATTGTAGGTACAGATTTGTATTTTTGTTGTTAACGCATAATGATTTTTCGTGTTCACGTAGAAGAGCTTGCGCCAAGTGTTTGCCGATAACAAACGGTAGATCCTTGAGGTTGGAAGTGCTATTAATTGGATTAATAATTAATTTCAAGCTCTTGGCGTCACGTATGCGCGAGTCTACGTGATCACAAAGACACGATATCGCGTTAGATTATTTATTAGTAGATATGTACAAAGTATACAGACTCTCTGCTATTAACTAAAACGCTATGCGTCTCGACAAAGATTTTGGATATTTTTCACTTGTGACGTTGCTTGCTTGCGATTATATAACACTTTAGTTCTTTCAAATTACTCGCTGCTTAATATTTTAGTGATTGATAAATAAATGTTTCATTTAAATATATATTTATATATTATAATTGGTGCTCAAAGTACTCGTATTAAATAAATTTACCGTCAACTAATGAAACTTTTTTATTGAATTTAAATTCCCACGTAAATGGATTACGAGAAAGAAATAAAAAAAAAAAAAAAAAAAAAAGGATGCGATGAAATTTCCGGTTAATTTCCGTCACGTATGTAATGGAAGAGTGAATTGTTAATTGGTGATAAAAAATAGATCGCCGATTCGATTGGATAAATTTGTTGTGTACAGAGAGAATTTAACACGGAAAGAACAATTTATCGAATAGTTGTTTCCGTAAATCGTCAATTCACAGCTGTCAAAAAACTTACACTAAATTACAACGTCATACTGTGATGAGTGTCTGTCTGATTGATCTACTGCTACCGAAGATATTACCTTTTATTTCATTCCGAATAATTGATACTTTAATTTTCGAAAAACCAAATTATATTCTCAAAATCCCTGATCCAATTTAACCTTTTTTTTTTTTATTGTTTCATTTTATTATGTAACATTTCTTTCCAATCTATAACTTTCGCTATAAATTCCTTTTTTAATTTCTTAATTATTAATCATTATAATTATCATTAAAATTTATATTATTATATTATTACGATTGGTACTCATTACACATCTATAGTAAATAAAGTAATGAACTCTAATAATAATTGTTGATCGATTATTAGATACATTTAAGCGACCGTTTATACATAGATGAGTGAAAAAGTCTTTTATTGTTTATATATTTATATTTAATATATAATCAGAAGAAAAATAAATAAAAAAAAATAAAATAACTTTTGTCCTGCCGACTGAAACTTACAAGTAGATAGAAGTGTCATCAAAATGTTGTTACCTTAATTTAATCTAATAATAATAATAATAATAATAATAATAATAATAATAATAATAATAATAATAATAATAATAATAATAAATAGTTACTATTATTTTGGTTGATTTGTTCTGACCTCATTAGAAAGATAAAATAAATTTATGTTTTGTTTGCATTCCGATTGACGAAAATCAACTTGTCCATTCAATTCTCAAAGCATGTCACTCCTACGTGCAGCCATTTTAGCAGCCCTAGAGGCCAGAGCCCCGAGAGAGCACACTAGTCCGGCAAGAGTTTCCCAGAGAGTTGGTCTGAGTCTCTTTTGATTAGCAGCCTGACCACGCCAGTATGAATCCGTAAATCCTGGAAAGTTTCGTGAGTATCCCCTGCAGTTATTATTGTTGTTGTTATTGTTATTAAAATTATTGTTATTGTTACTATTACTATTATTATTACAGTTATTGTTAACAGGATCAGCAGTGGATCTAGACCTTGGCTGTTGTTTGACAACTCCCTGTCCTTGCCTGGGGTCAATCTGAACCAGAGGAGAAGAGTCACGATAGTAGGACTCCCGACGCATCTGTTGTTGGATCTGAACATTGCTGAGCCGCCGGTCCATCAAATTAACAAGATTCTGGTGCAACCTCTGGTCGTTTTCCTGGATGATAGGCAGCTGATGGCCGCGTCTTGCCGGGGATCGATCGACTTGTCAGGCGTATTCGGTGTCAGTTGAGGCGGACCTTTCCAAAGCGCCAGCATGGGTTGAGTGCTGGGTGGTGGGTGGCGGCCTCCCTTGGACCTCTTCCTGCTGCTGGGCTTGAGCGTACGCGAGACTTTTCTGGTAGCTGAATAGTTGTCGCTCCAAGCTGTAGTTCTCGGCTTGTAGAGCGGCTATTTCACGTCGCATCTGCTGGTTATGGACCCGGCAAACGTCGTCGTACTTGTGGTAAGTGGCCTGGAAGAGCAAATGGCTTTCATTCCACTCGAGCCTGACCTTCAGCTGACCCTTGTTTGTGAGAAAAGGACAGTGGTCGTCGTTAACTTCATTAACGCCGAGCCTCGTTTCCATAATTATACCCTCGTCAGCTGCCTCCTGAGAATAGTACCGGCTAAATGGGGCTCCTGGCAGGAGAATCGTCTCCGCGTCCGGGTCGTCCCCGCGTATTAAGTACGCGGACCAGCAGATGTACCTCAAATGGTTCCTCGGAACGTTGTGGATGTCTTTGTAGACTAAATGGAACCTGACAGTGTCAGAGTGCAAGTCCGCGCGCACTGCCCAGGCTTGCTTATCGCGGTCGTAGCAAGGCGCTGCTGGAAGCACTGTTGGTCCCAGAGCCTGGACCGCGACCTCAGAAAATGTCCGTGCTTCAATCATCTCTAAAGACACACGCAACATACCCTTGTGAGCGATGTCTGACCAACGGACGCGGGTGTGCCAACCGTAACCTCGGCCCTCTGCATCTGACAGGTCGTCGATTTGACCTGACTCGATTCTTCGCTCTCCCTCGCCCAGCACCATGCTGTATCTCACTCGACAAGGGTGGTCGAAACCCGTCAGACGGATCAGGTAAACGCTCAACTTACCCTCTGAACGTGGCTCGTCTTCTTTGTTGCCTTGGGGATAAACCGCCAGGTTCCAGTCGAATCCGCCGAAAGTGAAGTAAGTTGTCTCCAGTTTGTTGGGTTTTGCTTGCCCGGTTGTAAACATTCCTGTGGGTAGTCGAACCTCTGCTGAAAACACCGTTCTGACGTTTGCCATCGAGAGCTCCAATTGAAACTCTCCGTTGGTGTCCGCAAAGTTTCTGCTGTACAAATCCGATACGGGTATGTAATTGCGATTCCCTTGAGCTGGTGCATCGTAGGTAAACTTTACTCGCTTCCCAGAGAATCCTTCGTTTACCGAAAAATGCTCGCGGTTTAGAAGGGTGAATGTAAAGTCCACGTAGACTCGCAGACCTGGAGCTGCTCCTCGCCATACTAGGTACACTCCTAATACCTGTAGATTTTAATATTTAGTTATTGTTTTTTGATTAAGTAAAAATTAAAAAATTTTTGATCAAAAAAATCATTTTTAAGAATTTGAGACTTGAATTCAGCAGAAAAATTATTTCGACGTTCTAATTAGTAAATTGTCTAACTCTATTTTAGAGAATCTTCTATTTGTATGTAAAAAAACAATTAGTTCAAAATTTATTATCACTTTAAAAAACCATTTAATATCATTAATATCTAATAGAGATATAATATTTAGGTTTGAATCATTCAAATAATCTGTAATTGGGTTATTGCTACATCAAAATGTTAAAAAATCACTCTCTAAAAAATAAGGAGCTAGAAAAATTGCTAATTAGACCATCGATTTAATTTAGTAAATATTTTACTTTAACTAAAAACAATTTTTTATTTATAGAATTTTTTTGCTTGATTTAAAATGATTAAACTAATTTTTCAAAGTAATGTTTTTGGAGTGAAAAAAAAAATACTTTTATTGGAAAAATTTTGTTGAAACATAAAAATATACCTATTCTCGTGAAAAAATTTTTTGATTTAATCTAATATGCTCATATATGGCTATATTAAATCTTCTGATATGTCAATAGATGGTTTGATGATTAATATAAAAATTATTCTGATCAAGCCATATCAGGTCATTTTTAATTATTATTGAGAATGTATTGTCTCATTTAAAAAATTCATTAAAATAATCTTTCTTTGATTAAAGTGATTTTTTCTTTTGATTAAAATTAATTTTTTTTTATCGGTGTAGTAATATAAATTATAATAAATTGTATTCGATTAAGATTATTGGGCATTAGAGCAACTTGAGTAAATTTAACAATGCAATGATATGGAATTATTGATCAATTTGTATAATGTACATCCCAAGTCTTTCATAATATAGTTATCAAATCATTGGCAAGTATTAACATAAATTTACATACACTACACTATCGTCAATTAAGCCTCATTACTTTATTAATAAGTTTGTAAATTTATTTAAATGATTAACTTAAAACTTTCTTTTAATTTTACATGGTAAAGCTACCTAAAATTTTTAATTTCAAGTTATTTATAAATTGCTGATAAAATCAAAAAGCTCTTTAAGAGTTCACTAGAAAAAAAAATGAATATAAAAGAACAATATTAGTAAAGAAAATTTTTCAACGCTTGGAGCCACTAGAAAGTTGGGTGAAAGTTTAAAATTTTCTTCTTGGTTTTTTAACTCTGGAATAAATTATTATGCCTCGGTGTGATGTAAATGACCGTATGGTAATTGTAAACGGTAATTACTTTAGTTTTTACTGAGCACGGTATTTAATTTTTTTTAAGTACAATTAACACTATAACACCATATCTTGCAAATAATTAACATTCAGTAGTCGAAATATAAAAAAGTTGAAATTTAAAAATTACATTGTAAGTTCAACCTTGTAATTTTCTAACGAATGTAATCAAATGTAAATGTTTAACACGGTAATAATAAGAAACAATATAATGGCGATTGTTTTGAAACAGTAACCGTAAAAGCTAAAAGCTCTTTCCAACCCTTTACTCGTAATTGTGATTGGACCGTTGTCAGCCGAGATCTTACTAAAAATATTAAATAGTTAAATGCAAAGGACCAGAAGGAAAAACGTTCGAAAAACGCAAAGAGAAGGTTTTAGCTTTTGTATTGTGTCTGCATGAATACTGGTGTAACCACCACGGAATACTTTGGTAAAATATGAAAAAGGTACAAATTATCGGCTTATACTTTATGTTTTATTTTGTAGCATTGTTAACAGAAAACCTCTAAATATTCGTAAGAAGCTTACAGTCAAAGTTATTTTCGGCTTATGAAAAAATTATTACAGCTTTTTGAATTGGGATATACATTAATTAATTTAAATGAACTTAGCTGGTTGGGCTCAAAATTTTCCTATTTTATAATTTATAATCTATAATAAATCGTATTCCTAATGTCAAAAAGTGTATCATTAATTATACGCTCCTTTGGTTTTTAAAAATTTTTTTTTCTTTTATCGACTGAGAAATGTGAAAATTTACTAAAGTAATTACATTTTTTTATGATAAATAAAAATTTTTTAAGTCAAAAGAGCATACACAAAAAAATCAAAAGTTATTTTTTAACTTTCTGCTTCAAAAATTGAATATCCATTTTTGAAAATTTTCAATTTTTAGAACCAGAATTGTAGAAATTTTAATTTCGTAACTGAAAAGTTAAAAAATAAAAATAAAATTTTTTGACCTACACAGAAAAAAAATTAACTTGAATCAAGTGAAAAATTCTTGAACTAAAAAAATAATTTTGTAAAATTTCATTGTCTTGAATTAAGACAAAAAATTCTTGAATCACGTAAAATATACTTAAACCAAGAAAAATTTCTTAGTTTAAAAATTTTTCTATTCAAATCACGTAAAATATACTTAAACCAAGAAAAATTTCTTAGTTTAAAAATTTTTCTATTCAAATCAAGGAGATGAAGTTCTTCAAAATTATTTACTTGATTCAAGTTAATTTTTTTTCCTGTGCAGCTTTTTGGTTTAAAAATTTTTTTCTCTTAAAACCAAAAAGGCGTATATCAAAAAAAATTATATATTTTATTATTTCAGTAAATTTTTACATTCTTGTCATTTCTGAGATAAGTGCAAAAAAAATTTTTTCTACCCCCTTTTGGCATTAGGAACGCAAAATAATAAGTGGAACAAAAAGTGTCTTACTGTAACTAATACTAAATAATGAATAATTATCGTACCTTGTCCCCTCTTGAAAACGCTACAGCCCATTTTTGAAATCCGCAAACAAGCTCCTTGCTGGTGACATCTCTCTCGGGATCCCGTACAACGCTTCGTGTTACCACAAAAGAGAAGACCCGCGTGCCACCGCGATCTGGTAGCTGCGCGAATCTGTACAACAGAGCCATCACCGCATCACGAGATTAAACTCCAAGTTTCCCTATTTCTTCCCGATATCTTTTTTCAATCCCCTCTGAGCTGTCACGCGCACCTGCAAAATTTAATTTAACTCGTCCTAAATCTTAAATACCATAAATTTTATAAAGTATTATTTTAAATAAGATTTAAGAGTTATAACTAATACAATAAATAATTGCTAATTAATCTCCGTATAATATCAATACAGATATATGTATTTATCAGCTGGGTATATAACAACTGACTAATGAAATTGCTCGCGTCGACAACAATATCTGTTTATCAACCTGTCTGACAGCTTTACAGCCAATATACATGCTATCTTTACTGCAATAATTCAGCATGTAGGTTAATATTGATTTTATAAGAAAAAGAAAAGAATAAAAAAATATAAAAAAAGGTAAAAAGTGCAAAAAGATACGTCTAAATTACAAAGTTATTTATCAGGTAATTGGATAGCTATTGATAGCGCGGTTATTTTTTTCCATTTAAATGAGGTTAAAACTCGACTATCGTTCATTCGAGCTCGTATACCGAGAAAAGGTATTGATTTTATTTATTTGTTATTTTCTGAACTTTTTTTTCATCCCAGCAGCAGGAAATCTTTGAAAGTCCAAGTAACAAAATTAAACATTTGCCACGTCGCTGATACTTTGATGCATTATCGCTATCACTATTGATTTTGCAGTAACTAAACCCAATCATGTTCCCTTGCAAAGACTCGGAAGCTTTGAAGCTCCTTCGCGAGCTCCATCGCCAGTGGGGTCTCAGATTCAATAGGACTCATCAGTATGAGCCGGCAGTCGCTGCGTTTGAGAAATCACGGGAAGAAGCCGGTGAAGATGATCCGAGAACCCTTCTGGGCTTAACCGAGGCATTAGTTAATTTGATGAGATACTCTCAGGCAGATACTATCTCCGAAAGATGCTTACAGATGGGTATGAGATTTTGAACTTATAAGATAAGGTTAAAAGTTATTGATCACGAATTAATGGTGAAAAAAAAAAACGTACTTGATTCAAGAAAAATATTCTTGAAAGTTTTACTCTTGTTTCGAAATATTCAGCTCGAATTAATTCAAAGATTGAATAAAGAAAATAAAAGAAAGTCATTTTAAGAGAAAAAAGTTCGCCATTTAAAAATTTTGTGAATTTGATGAAGTATTTTACTATTTTTAAAAAAAGTAACCTAAATTTCATCCAAAAATTTCTTGAAACAAGGATTAATATATAAGGTAACGTTGATAAAAAATTTAATTTGATTCAAAAGACAACATTTTGAACAAAAATCATCATTTTGAAGTTGTATCGTCTTAAATCAAGCAGAAAAATTCTTGATTTAAGAAATTGCTCTTGGTTTAAGTTAATTTTACTTAATAAAAGAATTTTTCTTATTGATTCAAAATGATCTAACTCTTCAAACTCATGTCATTGGTTCAAAATTTTATCTTTTAAATCAAATTAATTTTTTATCAGTGAATACATTATTGACTTGTTTAAAAAATTCTCGAATTTTCTTCGTTTATCAAAAATGAGTCTCAGATACTTTTAAAAATAATTCAAATCAAATGTTTCTCCAAATTTTAACGATTTAAAATTTATCAAATCGAGAAAATGAGTTTGTAGACAACAAATTCTTGATTCAAGACATATAATAGACTTTTCTGAAAATAATTTTTTTCTTGGATCAAGAACAATTCTCTTAAATCAAGTAATTTTTTCAATATAGTAATACAAAGATAAATTTCGTGTAATTAGCTGTATTTTCTCTTTGGAAATTTATCAACCTAATTAACAGATTCCACAGAAACGTACCTCAACATTTATTTATAGCTAACTAGGTACTAATTGGAGTTTTTAAGCGGATACTCAAGATACTAACTAATTTTTCACTTCCTTAGCGCCAAATAACCAGCTGGCTAAGTGGATGAGGATAGAAACATTGTACAGGATCGGGGAATTCTCGAAAAGTTTGATCTTAGCTCACCAGGCAGGACACTCGTGCCGTTATCCGTTTGAGGATGCAATTCATCGTGCTAATGAGACAGTTGAAGATTGCCTGGGATATAACACATTGGAGGATGTTTTGGTAGCTCTAGTACCTTGGATGAAGAAGGTGGAGAAGCGGCGCAACGACCTGATATCCAAGTTGTCGGAACTAAAGAATGAGTTTGAGGGTACTTGTCTTAAAATTCAATATCTTGGTTCTATTCCAAAGTTTTATCACTCGAAACTTGCCTAGATTATTTATGGCTTATAAAATAGTCTCTTGGAAAATTCAATTACCGAGTATCATAGATTACCATTTTTGCTGGTTATACTCTAGATTATCATATCATTTGTCATTTTCACTTTTGCTGCAGTAATTAAAAATTTTTAATTTGCAATTTAAAATTTATTTATAAAGTTATTTTCGTTTTGTTTTTATTTTAGGCATCGATGAAGATCACTCTCGATTTCCAGCAAATGATCCCGATTACCAGCGCGACTATCGCGCTAAAAAATTCAACGACATGCTGACACGCAGGTACTTGGAAACGTTAGCAGTTGATAAGTTTTTTGCTGAAAATTTATTAAAAAATCCGGGCTTGAAAACGGCGAACGAGGAGGCTAGCCAGAGGCTAATAACAATGGCGCAAGAGCTCGTGACAGGATCCAATAAAATAACGGAGGTTAATCGTCTTCGGAAGCCTCTTTATGTCTATTACTTCAGAAATAAGATTATACCTCCTTCTTTGAAACGGACTAAGTTGAAAGATAAACAACTGCGTAAAGATAATATTGTTGTCGAGGCTAACTCACTTTTTATGAGGCTTCACAAAGCACGTATGGAGCGTGACTACAAAAGCTTCTTCATGTAACTAACTAACTAATTAATTAATAATTTTAATTTTCATAAAATTAAATTTAATACCACTTTTGTTTGATTAAGCTTTGATAACCTCTGGCTTGTCGGAGAAATTCATTTCCTCTGAAAGTATATTACATCCGAGTTTTTTCTTCATGATTGAATTGATATAAATATGGGTAAAGTCGTAAAATATTGATGCTATAAACACATGTATTGTTTATTTCACTCTTACAAATGTATCGACTCCTGAGTTCTTCATTTTTCAATTTGTAAATTATTCTTGTATTGATTTCGTATGAGTCTTTTTTATTGGGCTCTTGACTCTTATTAAGAAGATAAATAACTCTTGATTATTTTTTTGAGGCGGATCATTTTCTTCGACAAGTCAAAAGGTTCTTGGTTAAAATATCCGACAACAAAAATATTCGACTTATAACATCGTAAAGAAAACACCCGAGAAACATTTGCTTGTTTAGAAGCTTTTTATGTTTACCTCGATAGAAGTTACACATAATACGTAAACTTTAAAATTGTCACTTTACGTGGGAAAACTTGATGTGTTATTTAGAATTATAAGATGTAATTTTAAGAGTGCGCTTGGATGGTACATGTTAACTTACATTAAGTAAATTAAATATTGCATAAATGTGAAAATTTATTTGATTGAAGAGAAAAAATTTTTACGCTTTTTTCTCTTTATTCTTTGTATAAAAAAATATTTAAATTTTGAATTTTTACACGGAAAAAAGTAAACTGTAATAAATAACAGTCGACTTATAATAAGTAATGATCAAAACTGCTCAAAATTACCATTTCAAACAGTAAAATCGTGATTTTACTATTCACTTTATAATATTTACCATTTAAACGTTACAATTTACTCTTTACATGGAAGAAAATACTATTTAAAACCAGTAATATTCGCTATGTAAATGTCTAAAAAGTATATAAAGTTAGTAAATTTCTAACACTAGCAACGTCAATATTTAAAAAGTAAAATGGTAAATTTTAAACGCAACGTTAAAAATCAAACTGTAATTATTGACTTGCTTGGACTGGTAAAATATATATTTTAAAAGTATAATTTTTACTGTTTCAAATGTTAAATTGTCCCAGAGTGAGACCCCTTTCTCTTTCATCTGAGTTCCCCTTCTCCTCATAATATGGACTATATATTGAAATGGCAATTTTTGCTGTTTGAAACTGTAATTTTTTAAGATGAAAGAGTCGTTATTTACTATAGTGACGGCTACTAATCACTTATTTTGGATATTAAATTATAAATTGTGGCTTTTATACTTTCTACATTAAGTTCTGTAATATTTATATTTTTGCCACCTCGATGTCCGATTTACTGTTTGAAACTATAAAAATTAACTGGAATCCGAGTGAATATTACAGTTTACTTTTTTCCATGTACAAAAATTAAAAAAAATTTATTAATTGTCATTTTTAAAATCTCTAAATATGCATACATTTTCTAATTTTCAAACAAAAGTTGAAACATTTTTGTTATTTTTATCCGAAAAAAGAAATAAAAAATTTACTCCGCAGAGTGAAATTTATTAATAATATAAACTTAAATCCATCTCGGTGTGAATTTCACTTCCGGAGGAATTAAATCAATTCTTCACTCTGCATTCGCTCCGAAAATTTTTTACAGTGTGCATGAGCTTGGTAACAAAAATTCGAATATTTTCGTTACAAAATAATTTCATGAAAAATTTACAAATTAGTTTACTAAGAAAAAAACAACAAATGGGAAATAATGTTTCAGGTATGTCGACAGAGTAAAAAATAAATTTGATTCATACAAAGAATGTATGTTCCCGATGAAAAAAGAATGTTTAAAGGAACTGTACAGAATGATATCACGAGTGTACACGGACCCTCGAGACGTGACAAGTATTAAAGATGAGAGAGAGAAGATCAGATACTTAAAGCATCATCTTGGGCTGCGCGAGAGCACGTTCCCAACGGACAGTGATCTTGGCTGGGTACCGTACACCCTTCAAAGCCGAAAGAAAGCGCCAGAAGTATTCAGGAAACGTCTGGCACTGGCATCCGAGCCGCTGGAGCTTGCGTGGTTATTTCACGAGTTTTCCAAACTCCACGTTGACATGAGACTTCTTGATGCAGCTCGTTATTACGGTAAAAGGTCACGAGACATGGGTCTACAAGCTCAGGACGACAGATGGGTATTAAATGCCAATCATTTGATCATGAAAATTGAAATTCAGTCGAGGAATAAGAATGAAGCTCGGGATGCTGCACTCTTGGCTTACTGGTGTGCCAAAAGAATTGGCCTTGACCACTTGATCGACTTTTACAAGCGCGTCCTTATCTTCATCAAGGACGTCGATATCGAAAAGTTTTTCACTGTTGATACCATCACCATCAGAGAACGCATGATGGTCAAATTAATGCCCAGAGAGCTGAAGCGCGACATGGATCTTTTATTGCAACGCGTAAATGTTATCCCTGCTAAACGGAGATTATCGGTAATGCCGGGATGTAAGCCCAAGGATCATCGTTTCAAAATGCCTTGCAGGAGAAATTCAATACTGGAGCAACGTCAGCGCCCGTATGCCCATCACAAGAGTCCATTTTCCAATCGCAATCGAGAAATGGAAATGAGATGCGATTTAATACGACAGTCTGCTCCTTCACGTGATATTCTTGGTTGGATGGACTTTGAAGATTACCTCTAGCATATATATTATATTTGTATATCCTATATTATATCCCAAATGGTGGTTATTCATGCCATACATCAAGTATTTGTAGATAAGAATTTGTGAATTCAAATAAAAGTAATATAACTTTGAGTTAAAATATATATTTTTAATATATAAATAACTTCTAGCAGTGTAATATTACTGGTCATTTTTTATATATTTTATCGGGAGAAATTTATTTACCAAAAATATCTACTAAAAGTATAAATAACATTATTCTAACTTCAATGTTTATCATTTTGCATGTAAAAGATTATCCTATGATATGTAAAAAATATCAAGAATGGTTACTAAATTGCTATAGTAAGAATTTCATATTTTCATTTAGCCAACGCGGCTGCCCAATTTCAAAACACAGTAACTAATATTTAAAAATTTTTTTCAATTTTTCTTTTTAAAAAAAAGTTTGCCCACCAAATTGATGAAAAATTAGATTTGTGAGTAGAAAATACTTGAATATAAATATTTTTAAGAAAAAATACTTGAAATTGAGGTCTAAAAGTTATAAAAAATGCAGCAATACTAGACAAAATCAGGTATAAAAATTTTGTAGTTACTGTGTTTTAAAATTGGACAACCGAACGTCAACATTTACATGGTAAAATAGTTTATTTTTAATGCAATGATTAAAACGAAACTTTAATTATTGATTTAGTGCATTTTATTTTTTAAAACGATAATTTTTCAAGAGTGAGAGTTATTATTTACTAACTAACCGCTATAAATCACCTTTTTCATTGCAAATGTTGGCTTTTATACTTTTTCACGTTATGCTTCGTAATATTTAATGTTATGCCGACCCGGAGTCCGATGTATCATTTGAAACTCTAAAAACTAACATGTGCATTTTTTGAAATAAAAAAAAAATATATGTATTTAAATGAATATCTGATATCATAAATATAAAGGAAAACAATAAATTACAATTGGGACGTTTTTTATTTTAGTTGTTTTGTAAAAAAACATTTATCATTTATAGTGCTAAAACTGGAAATGATTAATGATCGTTGTAATTGAGTTCACCTAAAACGGAAGCTAGATATAAATGTCAACTGTACTAACGACTACGTTAATTTTTTTTTTCGTTTTTGCAGAATTTATAGGTAATAGACTGGACGTAGGATAAAAAAAATGGATGCTAAAAGAAAAAATAAATTTTATTTAGTTTATTGGATGCAAGCGCTTGCTGCACTACTTTTCTGTCAAATGTAATGGTCGTTTTAGCGAGGCAATACCGTGTCTAATAGCGGGTGTAGATATATATCTGTTTTTGTAATATATAGTATTATATGTATAGGTATCTGACAAATGGCAGAAAAGAAGGACAAGACTACAACAAAGTTATCTTGAAAGCCAGTAGCTTCGATTAGGAAATCTCGTTACAATCTGCTACGCTCGATTTCGCTCCTTTTACCGGGATCATTTTGTTCGGTTGTTATAGGTGTCAACAGTTCTGTAATACAAATAACAAAGACCAAATAAAATTTATATAGGTTTGATGTGAGAGTTGGGATTAGGTATCAGTCAAATTTTTATTATGATAGTAATTATTTATTTGATTGAATGTTTTATATTTGTAAACTCGAACGGTAAGATTCAATTTTTTTATCCGAATTTTAATTTTTAAAAAATACCATTTGGCAGTCAGGATGGAAGTAGATTTTCCATAGATCAAAAAGATGTAATTTACAGAAATTCGATAAATTATTACATTCAAAAGTTAATTTAAAAAGAACTGGTAAAAGCGTAATAGCTTCCAATTTTTTAAAATTTTGAATTCCAGTCATCTCTGAACTATCCGATCGATTTGAACCATTTTAAAGAATAACTATGTTAAGTTTGATGGAGATCGGTTGAAAATTGTGGACACTATATGTCGCATTAAATCGTAAAAATATATATATATTGTAAAAACTTTTAGTGTAAAAATGGCCCTTGAGAATTTAACACGGTCGGGTGAGTATAAAATGACGGTGTGAAATTTTAGTGGCGTGAAAATTTGTTTGGGTATTTTTTACACGGTTTTATATACTTTTTATCACCGTTTTGTGTCATTAAGTAAAATTTTATTTACAGTTTTATTTCTGGGTAAAAAATTTTCTGACATTCCCTAATGTTAAGCAAAGTTTTACTAAACAGCAAAATTTCGAGAAAGTTGTCATGGGGATAACTTCAATAAAAATTATTACGGTAAGTTAGAAATTCAATTTTGTGACGGTAACAACTATGAAGTTATCAATTTAAAAACAAAATTAATAACACAAAGCTTGTTATTTTTTTAATTGAAAGATAATTTCAATTTTCACTGCAGGAAAAATTTTGAAGTTATGCTTTGAAAAAAAAAATTTTTTTTAAATTAAAAACAGTCGTGTCTCTAATATCATAAATGAAAAAGAAAATATAACATAGATACAACATAGATGTCAAATTAGCTGTCAGAAGTGGTTTCCTTGTTAAGTTCAATCAAATATGGATTTCGATACTACAAATGAAGTTACAGGCATGTCTTACGGGATGATGACGGAATTGGAGAAGCTGTTAAAGTTAGAGGAACGCATTAAGCAGAAATCAAAAGGCCGTCAATTAGCAAAAGCTTTGCATGAACAAGCAGATCTACTTTACAGCAAGTAAATTAATACAGAATAATCTGATCCAATTGGATTTAATTGAATTTAATACAGTATAGTAGAGTGCAGTTATATTCCAATAGAATATAATTTAGCGATCTACTTAAGACTTAATCTAAAGCCTGGTGATGAGAAAATTTAATCCCTACTTTAAATGTATTATTGTGTCTATCACAGAGGGGATTATGAGACAGCGTTGGTCCTCTACCATCGTGCGGCTACTGCGGATCCTCGAGACACCAGTCATAATGCAGCCGCTTATACAACGTCCAGAGCCATACGCTTAGCGACTTCTGCTGCTGGAGATGCCAAAACTAAAACTAGTTATTTGCAAAAAGCTGTGCAGAAAATGATAAAAAGTCATTCTGTGTTGCCGTCAACGTTATGTCCGCCTGATATCGCCACCGAAATTCTCAGCAAATCTCAACATCCACTTGATGATGTCAGCACTATTCTCAAGTGAGTATCTGCTCAAAAGTTATGAGTGGATGTTTACGATCATGATACACTGTAAAAAATCGGAAGTGGATATGGATTTAAATTTGAAAAACATCCAAGTACGGAGTTTTTATATTAAAATATCATTTTATTCAGCTGAAACAAATTTCATATGCCAAATTACTAACAAATACTTCAAAAAATTTATCTCAAATTTAAATTTAAAAATACGTATTTTATAATTCATAAACGAATAGTTAACAACTATTTTTCATTTTTATTAATAATAAAAATTAAAGAAGTCACTTCATGGAGTTTTCTTTTATATTAATAATATGAATATAGTCCTACTTGAAGTGAATATCATTTTAGAGGGATTAAATTAATTAAAAATCATCCACTCCGTAAATTTTTTTCAGTGTAGTTGTTGGAATATAAATAAAAAACTGCTACATAATTCTGTCCAGGTGCCTGGATTCACAAGTTAGCTTTTCCGGAGACTGCGTAAAAAATGCGACTAAAGCCCGAATCCGAAAATCGAGTGCCTCGAAATTGATGCTCAAGCGAAAGTTAAGCCAAAATGTGGATTCGGCTTTTAGATTTAGGTTTGTAGATATCAGAAGGTCCTTCGCTGCCGGCGATTGGGATAAAACCATCGAGATAGGACGAAATTTGTTGCTGCAAAAGAAGATTATAAAGGACTGTAATTGTGTGGTAAATATTTATCGATATGTCGCGTTGGCTTTTGTTGGAAAGAAGAGACATGATCATGCGATCGTCGAAGTTTCGAAAATGATACAGACAGCTAAGCAGTCAAATGATGTTAAACTGGTATCTCGATCACTTGCAGTACTTGGGAAAGTCCATCTGACCTTTGGACATGTGTATGCAGTTGCTAAAGCATGGGAGAGACTGAATTCGGATATTACGGAGCCTATAGTGAAAGCTTGGTTGGTTCATGAAATTGGTAGATGCTATTTCGAGATGTCTCACTTTACGAAAGCATTGGAGCTTGCCAGAAGATGTGTTTCATCTTCAGAACAAGCGCAATCAGGAAAATGGTTGTGTTATGGTAAACTTCTTGCTGGACAAGCGCTTGTTGAACTCGGTCAATTAACCCGAGCCCTTGAATCTCTGAAATTAGTCGCCGAAATGGCCAGCAAAGAAATAAATGACGACAATTTGTTAATTTATGTCAAGAATTTGATTGAGAAAATCTATTTCGTTCAGCGAGAAACATTTAATCGTCGCAATTCGAATGTAATTGAAAATTCTGTTAAATCGTTATCGTTTAGTGGTGAAAGTATGAAAAAAAAAAATGCTGACCTTTTGAGAAAAGTTGATGACAAATTGAATCAACAGAGCGTTAATAAAAATAACGGATCTCGTTTCGTCGATAAGTGGAGAAGAGCTTTAACTGAAAGTAAGAGGACAATGATAAAATCTGAGTCTTGTGACTTTTACTCGACTAATGTGGTTACGGAAAACGATTTTAAGACAGGACCAGTTTTTCTTGCACTTGACGATTTAGAGAAAGAAAATGGGACGGAGTATCAGCGACAGGAAATAGCTGACGGGAAAGAGAAGCTGAGAGAACAAGGACAAGAAGGATATAGTCTGGCGACGTTATCAGATAAAATGTCACCAGGACTTACAAAACTTGAATCTTTGAAACTATCGTATCAAATGAAAGTAAAAGATAATAAAAAGTTCAAACTTGAGGAGTGTTTCCAAATGGACGAAGATCACTCTGATAAGTCTATCTCAACAAATAGAACTTATGATGTAACAAAATAAAAAGACAACCGGTAGTATGATATAACTTGTTCATCAACTTATCCACTCTCTATCGTCACTCGATTCTTGTCCAACCTCGTCAAATAATTAACTAACTTTCAAGCATATACAATGATCCTTCATCATCTTCATCATATCTTTATAAATCTTTTTCAAAGTTTGGTTATTTAATTATTAATTAAATTATTAGATTTTGATTCAATGAAATTATTATTGAGTATTGATGACCGTTGGACTGGATTATTTTGTGGACACTAAAGCTAAGCTACTGTAATAGTAAGTGTGTTATTGACAGTATTATTATCTTTTATTGCCAGCCATTAGAACAATAATGTATTTTGTACGTGATACCTACATATATATGTGTCTAGTATGTATGCATATTGGACATTTGGACGGTCCAAGTTTCCAAGAGGAAATTTCATGCACACGTGCATACAATAAGCGAGCCCGCATTTCGTGCACATATCGAATGATGTGAATAGCGGGCGTGATTTCACGAGATTGTCCCGGGCTACCTGTTGAGTTGTTGATATTCTAAGGCTTCTACTGACATACTTGCTGCATTTTATTATGCACATGTACACACGAATTTCACTAGCTCTAAAATCAAGACTATAACTTGGGACTGTTACTCATTACTTGCTAAAGCTTATGATAGTGAATACTGTTAATTCCGTGTATACACCGACACTTTAATGAAACGATTGTGTACTCTAAAATGTAATGATTAAAGTTCTGGGTCGGGGATAGAAAAGCATTCATCACTGTCAAACGACGATCTATTCATAAAAAGCTTTTGAAAAAAAATTTTTCTTTACAAAAGAATGGTTAAGTACCTCAGATTCTTTTATTTTTCAAGGTTTTCAAGGTATTTAGTTTCAGTTTCATGTTGAAGGAAAATGGGGTATTTAAAAATTTTTAAAACGAAATTTTAGTCAAAGTACTATACTGAAAAAATAATTTCTTGATTTAAAATAAATGTTTTTGATCCAAAAACAAATTTATTTTGAAGCGACTTGATTGAATAGATTCAAGAGTTTTTTTTGTCTTAAATTCGTTTTCTTAGCTTGAGGAATTTTACATTTTTAATGTAAAACTCCGGTATCTCGAGTAATGGGAGTGAATGCGGACTGAAATTTACGCCCGATTCACTTCCGATTTATTATAGTGTAAAGTCAGTTTAAACAGAACAATTCAAGATTAATAGTACATGTACAAATTTACCTGTCAACTTGGTTTGTTAGAATAATGTATAGTCATTTAGAAGTTAAATAAATGCAACTCAGAGACTTACTAATTTAACAAGCAACAAGATACTAATCTAACCAGGAAAAAATCTCCTCTTGTGTAGAACATGAATTTTGTAAATGAAGCACATATAATTACAACTTCCTAGTTTACATTGAGTTTTGTTTTGACTATCTAACTAACCATTTAAGTTTGTTACTTCAATGCAGATTTTATGCAAACAATTTTGTTCTACAAACACAAAAGTCAGTTACAAACATATTTTTATTAAAATTCTTTTCCACTATAAATATAAAATTTTAAAAATTGGATATTTATTCTAAAAATAAATCCCCAAGTATAAAAAATAAATTTCTCAAGAAGAAACCACGATAATATCTCATTTCCCGCGAAACCGCAAGTATCCGCAGCTAGCTGTTAACTTTAATACAACACTAAAGATAAAAAGTTGAGTTTTATTTCCTGTCGAATTACAGTATAGTCTCAGGCGGAATAAAACTTTAAATATCCATTAATATTTATTAAAGTTGTCTACATAAGAACATTGAAATCACCCCAGCCACTTTACGAGTAATTTACTCTATTTAAATTTACATATTCCCGATATTTTCTTAACGGCCCTACTCTGGTTTCTGGTTTACTTTTAACTCCCCTACCTACTATTCAGAACACTTAAATTTTCATTGAGACGTTAACTTAATAAGTAAATATTTAATTCATCGGGCGTAAAATAAATTTTGGGTAAGTTATTCTAAAATTGATCGTTAGTATTCATGGGCTGGTCAATTTAGTTACAGAGTAGTGGTCGGTTGCTCCATTAGCCAGGTTTCTCTTGTCCAAGACTGATAGCGGTATATTTGGATTGCATGGGAACGAAGATAGAGAGTAGATAGGTAGACAGAGAGACATTCTGACAAACCACCACATGTGTCAGATAATTCCGAGTAGATGCTGCACCCGGAACCCCGTTATCCTTAAATACGGTCCTTTAATATTCCCTCTTTAATCGCTACTTAATATTCTACGCGTGATAATGTTTATGGTTGCTAAACTCCTTAAAGCTTTATTAGCATTCAAGTGCTATTTTATATTAAGTTTAAGAAATAAAATTTTAAAAAGTACTTGACTCCCTTCCCTTCATTTACGAACACTTCATTTCACGTTATATTCAAAATTCAATGAATATAATTACGATTAAAATAATAATAATAATAATAATTTAACAGCTTCAGCTCATTATTATTTATATATTTTATGGTCCTATTCTCCAGAAACTCAAGCAGTTACAAGTGGTTACAAACTTCAGACAAGTACTGGTAGACACATTATGTAGTCGAATAATTATCAACACGAGAACCGAAGACTTTTGGAGCCATTATCTGATGGATTGTTATTACTAAGCAGTTTTTCGTTAATTTTAGTGATCGGCCGAGGAACTTTTAGGTGTACAATAATTTTGAAACAACTCTTGGATTATAGACTAAAAAAACTACTTGATTCAAGAAAAATATTACCTTCAAAATTCGACTTTTGTTTTGAGATATTTACTTCACAGTAAAAAATTTTACGTCATTACGTCAAAAAATTTTGTGTTAAAAATTTTTATGTTAAATATTTAACACAATAAGTGTTAACTTTACACATAAAAGTGTTAAATTTATACATAAAAGTGTTAAATATTTAACATAAAAATTTTTAACACTAAGTTTTTTGACGCAATGACGCAAAATTTTTTACTGTGTTCGAATTAATTCAAGAAATTCTCTAATTAAATTAAAAAAATTTTAATCAAGGATAAAGAGAAAATTTTTAAAATAAAACCTAAATTTCACCTAAAAATTTTTTGAAATAAAGATTAAGATACAGATTTATCTTGAATCGGATAATTTTTATCTTCAGCCTAGTTCCTGCAATGATTAATGTAAATTACAATGTCTAGTTTTAAAATACAAATAGTTTTTGCAAAAGATTTTATTGCTGCAGCTCGTTATTTTTCCATTGAAGAGATTGTTAAAAGTAATATCTACCTTGAAGGTCGTTAAAATCGAGGGTGAAAAATTTAATAAAAACAGTACGATCTTGACCCATTGATATTTTCGTTTAACAAATGAAATATGGATAGTTTTTGCACATTATTTGTTGAGTGATTTTGTACGATAAGAATATCGTGTTGATGTAGATCGAGATTAGTTAACTTGACTAGAAACGTGAGGAAATAACTTGTCTTGTCGCAACGATTCTATTTAAACTTTTAGATTAACTCGACAATATTTCATGCTTCAATAATTACTTTTGATCTTCACTGCGACAGGGAAATCTGAGATAACTAAATGAAAAGATATTTAATAATGTACTGCTCTTCCTTTGGAACTATAATCCCTGCAGAAGCATATTGATGATTTATTTTCTCATTTTTTTCATGCTGTAACTTAAGCTCTTTTATAATTTAAATATTTTTTTTTTCTTCATAAAACCATACTGTAAAAATGTAGCTGATAAAAAGAAGCGTACAATAACCAGACGTATATAACGTCGAATCGATAATTGTTGGCTAATGATTGAAGAAGTTTTGTTCGATTGTTTGCTCGCGCGTCTACGTTGTAATTTTATTTTAAGTGTTTATGCTGAGAAGAGTAAAGTAAAAGTGAGTTTTTTGGAAAAAAAAAAGACATTTCTAGGCTGAACATAAAATAAAAAAAAAACTTTATGCATCATACTCGAGGTCTTGAAAAATTCGTTATTATAAAAGTTATAACGAAAAAGTTTCACTGAATTTCAATAAGTAGATTCAATTTTAGGATCAAATACATAAATATGTACATGTATTATGGGTACAACTTTCTCGTAATATGATATAATACAATAAAATATATTGTTTACTTCATCAAGAGCACTGTTTCCAATGTTTGTTTTACTTTATTACTGAGGAACGAAAAGTGATACAGCAATTTATGAAAATAGAACTACTGCAGATATGTCAAGCGAATATGAGTATGAATATTGCAGAGCAAGAATGCAGGCCGAGCGCACAAAAGAAGGCGGTTAGGTAGCGCGTATAATATATGGGGCAGCGAAATGAAATGGAGAAAAAAGACCAGAAGGATAGAAACCAAGTGGTGATAAGTATTAAATTCTCGACTATAAGTTGAGTGTAAGTCAAATATTGAATGATCTTATTGATGATTATTAAATAGTAAATCAACTGTTGACCTTAATATGATAGCATCGTGTTGAATTTAACTGTATACATTACACGAGATATGACAATGTTTTATTACTTCGCATATTTGTTATTTAATATTCATCACATAATTTGTCTTCCTTACTTCGCCTAATAAATCTCGAGTTTTAATATTAAAAGCATAAGATGTAAATTACTTTGTGAAATGTATTAGTTGTATGTGTCATCCTGAATTATGTTTGTTTTTGACAAAGCGTGAGAAAAATCAAAATTTTCAGACACTTTTATAATTGGCTCATTGAATTTTGTATATTTTTTTATTTACATTTATTTATGGATTCATTCTAGATTTAATAAGACGCTTTATCTTGAAATTTTATAGGAAACGCGAGTGAAAAATTTTTAATAAAGCGGTGGCTGGGAAGATAAGAATCATATTATGTTTTGAAAATATTGATACTGTAATTGGATTCAATTTATAAAAAAAAAAAAAAAAAAAAAACATTTTTGAAAATTATAACAATTTCTTTTGAAAAGTTATTGACTATACTTGGCAAAGTATTTTTGA